CATCGTCTTCTACTTGTCACACTTCAAAATGAGAACTATATTAGCATTGTTGAGTGGTCAAGGAAAATGTGCAATGCTCCAACCACTCATTACATGAAATAAGAATGTCTTCCCCACATAAGTTCCGAAAATGCTCATAAAATCCTGGGTTTAAACCATCTGGTCCAAGAGCTTTGTCATCGTGCATCTGGAAAATAATAGTACAAGTCTTTTCTATAGTCAGCGATTTTGTTAGCAGAGTTATCTTCTTGGGTAATATCTTCCTTTAGTGTACTGATTATTGGGTCAACTACCATGGTCCCCTTGTTGTAAAGATCCATGAAATAACCAGAGACAATGTCTCCCATACCCCCTTGTGTAGTGACCCTTGTACTGGACCTATCCGTAACAAACTAGATTTAGTTTTGCTTTCTTCTAGAAGATATCAAAGTGTGGAAAGATTGTGTTAGCACACCTTCATGAAACCAATGTTGCTTGGCTCTTTGTTTCCAGAAAAATTCCTCTTGAAGAAGCAAAATACACAATTTTTCTTGTAATTCATTATACCTTTTCCAACCTATGGCATGACTCCTACATCTACAAACTTCCATGAGAGATTTTAAATCCACTAAAGTTTCTCTTGAAGAAGCAAAACACTCAATTTTTCTTGTAATTCATTATACCTTTTCCAACCTATGACATGACTCCTACTTCTATTAATTTCTATGAGAGATTTTAAATCCACTAATTCCTTATTTTTTGCTTCTCTCTTTCTTTTGCCCCAAGATTTTGCCCGCATTTGTGAAAGTTTTCTTACACGTTGCCTCTACCACTCTTGTCCCAATTGTCCGATACCACTTTCTTAAGTTCAAGATCAAGAATCGATCCATTCTTAAATTTAAACAATATTAATAATAAAAAATTAATAATACATAAAATAATATTAAATAAATATAATATCTAATTTCATGATACTAAAAATTAAAATAAAAAAATTATATTAATATAATATATTTAAAATATGTGTAACTATCCATTTTTAGATAACATATCTAGAAAAGTTAAAATCATGTAAAATTTTATATACATGATTTCAAGTTTAATATCACATAATTCAAATAGTAGTTTTGTTATATTTTGCATTATACAAAAAATTATTAAATATATAAAATTTGCTGTAAGTGTTTAGATTTACATCTAGTATCAATGAATCATGACTCTAATATAAATTATAAAAACTTAAGATATAAAAAATATAAATTAATATAAATTATTAAATTATAAGAAAAATATTAAAAATAATTTATTTTAATTTATATACTTTATTAAATGTACATTATTATTATTAAGATTGTTTTAATTAAAGTTTAAAAAATTTCAACAAAAATTAAGTTTAAAATTTATAAATATTCTTTTAAAGAGGATCGGTTCAAACTGGTTTTCGTACCTTTTTTTTTTTTACCAATTTCAAACCTGTTTGATGATTTTTTTTACTTGTTCAATTCGATCTTTAGACAATCGAATTATAAATTGTAATTGGATTGGACACTTGACTAATTTTCGATTGGATTGGTTGAACTTGCCGATCCAATCCAATTTTCAAAATAAAGGTTTGATTACATTCATTGTCAATAAAAATTAAAAATAAACAATAAATATATTAATAACAAAAAAGATTAAAAGAATCAAATATTAAAAATAAGAATATATCTCTTTAATGTAAAACATAATTATGGAGAAAAAAAAATTATCAATAAAAATTGAAATCAAATATAAGAAACCTTTACTTAGGGCATCTCCAATGGAAGTAACTCATTTGAGTTGCTTCATGCATTGAAAAATGAAAAAAGTGGTCCCTAGTGTGTCATGTCAGTATTAAACAACTCAAACACAAATTTACTCAAATGGTAAAAAACTTTAAGAAATTCAACTTTTAGAATTTTTTTCTAATCATTTATGAACCAATTTTAAATTTTTATTAAAAAGGATAATTACACTACAATAAAAGAAAATAAATTACGAGAAAAAATACACAATAAGTAGATATTAAAAATAAAATAAAGCAATAGTAAATACATAGACATTATACGAAATTAATTTTCATCATTATTATTTTCAAAACGTTCCCAAATATGTTCAATAAGATCTACTTGAAATCTGGTAAGGAACAGTTGCTTGAGGAAGCAACTCTCTCTCTTCTTCAAGCAACTCATGTTGCTACGTTAGAGTTCTCCAATGGTAAGAAACCGGGACTTGAGTTGCTTCATGGGATAAGCAACTCCCATTGGAGTTGCTCTTAGAAAACATGTAAATTTAATTAATACTACTAACAAAATCAATTCCTTAATTCTCGTGATAGACTAATTTCTCACACTATTATGAATTGAATTTGAGTTTTAATTGAAAATATCTATATTTTAGTACTTAATCATGTTTTAAAGAAGATTATTCAAGGTGAAGGTCAAGGTGGACCAATTTAATAAAAGGTTTGCAGTTGACTATATTCTATAATCTTTAAATTAATCTCATTTTCATGTTATTATGGTGCATCCACACTTAAATAACATTCTTTAATCATCCTCCACAACTTTCTCTTATTGACGACATCTCCTCCTTGGTGACCATCAGTGCTACCATTCTTATTGATGATGTCTCCTCCTCCAAATTATGTTCCTAATCATTTTGGGATTTTGCTCCATAGTTTATTTGTCGGGTGACATCAATTGTACCATGGTGGAAGCATATGTGAGTTAAGTCACACTCAAGACACGTTGTATTTGGGCTGCTACAATTAAGTAGGAAGAGTTGCATCTTGACTATTAGTTATAACTTTTGATCTAGTGATAAACACTCGATCTAATAATTGGTATTAAAGACAATGTTGTATGTTCAATTCCCAGCCGGAGCAATTATTGAGGGGAAAATTGTTTGCTAAAAGACATAAATTGTCCCATGGTAAAGGCCTAGGTAGGTCAAGTCATAGTCGATACACGTGACGCTTGAGTATCTATGGTTAAATAGAAAAGTTGCACCCTAACTATCAATTATAACTTTTGACCTAATGGTAAGCACTTGATCCAACACAATTGTATGCCTCCCTTAGACCAAATTCACACATCTCTCCATCATGTCAAATTAATACTTTGTTGTGGTATATTCAAAATTACATGCCTCTAATATGTTGTAGAAAATTCACACTTGCATGCAACCATTGTGTTGCAACAAATTCACACTTGTGCATCTATATCATGTGGTGAAAGATTTACTTTCATGCACTCACATTTCTTTGACATGACAAATCCATACTTGTGTCAAATCTTGTAAATCAAATACCAATCCAAAGAAGAAAAAGGGAAAGA